AAGAACAACTACTAACATGTTAGCTAGTACTTTAGATATGCCCTTGTATATTGTGTTGCAGCATGAAATCAGACAAAAATCCTTCATTCTCTCAGCATTTGGTACTTTAGCCACCAGAGTAAACAATGTAGAAATAATAGCTCTAGGCATAACTCCTGAATGAAAGAAATGGAGTGCAACATCCTCCACCAAAGAACCAATAAGATCCCAATAAAGCCTGAAGATTTTTGAAGGGAATCCATCAGGGCCAGGGGCCTTACCCTGTCCAAGGATGAAAAAAAACACCCTTGATTTCCTCTCGAGTCACAGGGAGGACCATTGAACTGGCATCCTCAGCTGAAAGCTATTTAAGTGATAAATGTTGATAGAAGCTGGATGGCTGGAGCAATACATCTGAATTAACTTTCCCAATTAAATCAGAGTAGAAATTCACTGCAACCCTGCCTATACCTTTCACATTAGTCACTTCTTTCCCCATCTCATCCAAAATTCTGGTAATCTGCTGCCTATGATTATGAACTTTCACTGTTTTATGAAAATATGTTGTGTTGAGATCGCTTCCTGCACACTTTGAACACGAGCCTTTGGCTTATAAAAACTCTCTTCAGGCCGTTTAAGCTCTAGGAACTGTTTAGCCAAAACCTCTTCCTCTTCAATCAACAAATCAGTATGGTGCTTAAGGAGATCCATGTGCAATGTTTCAATTCTCCCTTCTATCTCTCTTGCTTGAGCAGAAATATCCAAGTAGACTTCTTTGTTTAGCTTCCTCAGGCTATTCTTTACTTTTCGCAGCTTACCATAGAAAACATAATAAGGCCAACCATCAACAGGAAAATCCCAAGCATCGGCTACCAATTGCATATAAGATGGATGGCTCACCCAGAATTTGAAATACTTGAACGACTTGGGTAGACTCTCTACATGGGGGATCGGGATCAATAGAATCCCACAGTGATCAGAGATCCCTGGAGGAATTGTCCCTACTATGGAGCAGAGCTTGCAGGAAAACAGCTTAATCATACTTCATTAATGAGAACCCTATCAAGACGCTTCACAATAGGATTACCTTTCTGTTTATTCCACCATGTAAACCAACTTCCCATAACCTTATGATCAATCAATTGCATCTCCTCAATCCAAGTATGAAAGTCAACCATACTTGCAAACAGGGCAACTAGATTAGAGGCCTCCCCAGGACCCCTGATAGTGTTGAAGTCACCAATCACAACCATAGGCATCAATAATTCTTTCTGAGCTAAGAGATCCCTGTATAAGATCACCCTCTCAGCTTCATTGTTGGGGCTATAAACAATCATAAGAATAGTAGGAGTCAGACCTCCAATCAGAACTTTACCATCATCCAGCTTAGTAACAAAAATACCATCCTTCCAAAATAGCCATATTCTACCATTTGGGGACTTGGGGTAATTATTCATACGATGTAAGTGACTAAAACTACGTTTAATGATATCCTCACTATTCTCTACTGTAACTCTAGTTTCTATAATAGCTATAAGATCAAGATTCAGGACACGAAATTTTTTAAGCACTGCTGAGTGCTTCTCAGGAGCATTGAAGCCCCCTGACATTCCAGCTTAGGACCTTCATTTCTCGCGTTTCTTTCCCCTCTCTCTACCTCTAACTGGGACAGGTGGAGGAGGCTCAATACTCGTTCTCCAAATAGGTTTACTCAAAGAAGGGTAAGCTATATCATCCAATAGTGACTTCCTAGGACCAGAGTAGAGGTTCCATGGACTCTTAGCAGCAGAAGCAAGATTAGGAGCCCTAAACCTGTTCTTCCTATTAGTGACCAACTTGAAACCATCATCATCAGGCCCTGAATGGCTACTAGACGCACTTCCCACAACATCAGGGGCAATAGACTTGTCATCACTACTACAACCTCGTCCACTTTCTCCTTACCCTTTTGAACAGTTGAGGACACTTTTTGCACTCTAGGTTGCTTAACTACCCACACACATTTCACATTCCCTCCTGGATTAGCACAATCATGCTCCAATACACCACACTTCTCACATATCCTGGGGACATGACAAAATTCGACATCAACTAACATCTCTGGATGCCCATTCGGGGTGATGCTAAGCTTGTTAATCAGATTAGTCTTCACAGTGATCTCAACACAGACTTTAGCAACACCATACCGGGTTCCTGCTTCGTCGGAAAATCCATACAAAGAGGTCGCCCAAGGAGCCGGCGAGACGCCCTAACCCTTCTTTAGAATTTAGCTCAGATGGCAAGTTTGATAACCGAACCCATACTGGACCAATAGAGTTATTAATGGATAATGGTTGAATACCTGGTTCCCATTTGCGGAGCAAAACCATGTTCTCTCAATGGTGTCAGGGGCCTCCTTCAAAAACCCAGCGACAGACCTCCGCATTGGGAAATTAGAAGAGCACGAGACAATCCCCCAGCCATGAGCCCATGACACCATCCCATCTCTCCCCCAGATCCAATTCGCCCAGAAGCGTATGGAAGAGAGGGAGGCCGAACAATCCATAAACTGACCAATTAAACAATTGACCCATCGCTTCTCACCTTCATCAATCACCGAGTTAGGATTCGGAGAAACCATAAGTTTAATTTTACATAACCAAGTGCTTTTTCATGAAAGATTTACGTATTATAAATAGATTAGGTAAAGTTTATAATTAACTACAATGTTCACCATCTCATCAATTTGCATTACGCAAAAATCATGCAAGGTAAATTAACTTTACCATTATAGTTTAATTAATTGTGATAATTTTCATAACTTAATTTTATTATTAGACCAGACACTATGAAAGATTTATATAACACCATTTTATAACGATTGCGTGAATTTATTATATAATCTTATAGAGGGATAGTTATGTATCAATTAACAAAAATATACAAAATAAGTCCTAATGACTAAGACATTTCATATAAGTTATTCATGATAGAAATTTGAACTAAAAATCCCAAACTATTAACTAAATTGTTGTTGATCTCATCAATTTGCTTACACAAAGATTTTTTAAGGTCGCTTATTTTTTTACTTAACATTTTAACAAAAAGTTTGATACTTTTTTGTAAACTTAGTTCACTTATTATTTACCAAAATTCATTATTGTTACATGCTATATTCAACATTTCATCTATTTGCATTGCAAAAATTAGATCTTTTGTAAGATAAGTTAATTTTACATAATAATTTAAACAAATATAAGATATGTAACTTGATTTTATTATTAGACCACACATTATAAAAGATGACGTAAATTGTACTATAAAAATTATTCAAGTACACTATGTAAATTATGAAGGTTGAAGAAATAGTTGTTTCTTATTTATCAATTAAACAGACGTGTTGCGTAAGCCTTCTGTAATAATAAAAACACTACAGAAATCTTATGGAAGTGCCATTACTTAAACAATTTTGTGAATAATTTTATTTCAATGAAAACATTGAATGAATGCATGAAATTTTATTAAAAATAATTATTTATTACCGTCGTGAAGTGCGAGCCAAAAACTAGTTAAAGCATAATAAAAAGAAAAAAAAGGTATCTAAACACTTTAATGGTGAAAATTAAAAAAGATTTATTTTGGAACATTAACATCACCATTTTAGTGATCATATTTATCCTTAGTGTTGATAAAAAAACAACCGTATATACCTATATATGTGCGTGTTTCACTACTCATTTCAACATCCAATACATATAATATATTATCAAGACATTTGTTACTGGAACTAATGTGTGATCCTCGGTTAATCCTTTTTTCTCTTCCCTCATTTCGAATGAAAAGGACAGATATAATTGTAGTGTCTCATTCCAATCACTTTCGAAAATGGTTTGTGTCCGTTATAAAAAAAATTGGTTTGTTTCATTTACTTTAGTGAATGAAATAACAACTCTTGGACCAAATTTATGTATTTATTCTTCTCAAAAATCACATCATCACTATGCTTTTCATTTATAAATATTCTTCTATAATATTGCTACTGTAGGAGCGCATATAACAATTTTCTTTTAATAATTCTTGATAAATATTAAAATTTATGAAGAAATATACTAAGGGGTCGTTTGGAAGTTGTGATTTTAAATAATGTATTGACCTAATTCATGTATTTGTGAGATTAAGCCGTTTTTTTGACTTATATAGAACTAGAATACATGCATTTACTTTTTGGAGGCCCCACCACAATCACTCAATATTGAGGGATTTACAATCTCTTATTTTTGTTGAGATTCTTCACAATCACTCAAAACTAACTTTTTTATCTTTAAAACAAAAACACAATCTAAACCTCCAAACACGATATTTGCCTAATACATCAAATGATAATACACTAATTGACTCAATACATTAATTTGAAGAATCACAACTTCCAAACAAGCCTAAGTAAACGAGAATGGAACTCGTTGAAGATGAGGATGTGCATGGATTATGTGCTCTGTATTCTAGTTAATTGCTCCTTCATTACAGGCATATTGCAAATGCGTCTGCAGATGAAAGCTCCCCATAGTACTCTTGTTGACTGGGACTCAATGATGCAGTGGTGGGCGAGCTGCTGGGTAGATAATCTGTTACAGCTAGAATATGCACATTAACTGGGTTGAACTTGAAAGGTGGCGAAATAGAAAAAGTTTACATCCTTAATCACATCTGAGTTCTCAAGTTTAACGAGTATGGGGACTAGATACTATAGCATTGTCGTAGTTTAGCATTCAGAGTCAATAGAGGGATTTACATAATGATTCCCAACTCTGATAACGGAAAACACGTAGGAGCATCAAAATCACGATGATTTGTCACATCCTAACATACGTTTCCCACAACCTGTAGAAGTAGGGTTTCAAAAACTTGCCCAAAATCGACTCCCTTGGCATTTACCTAGAACTATAGCTTGTTACTGGGTTTGGTCTTTGGACAACGCATACAAACAAAAAGTGACTGCAGGAGGAAGATGGATAATCATCAGTCTTTAAGCAACTTTTCTGAAGTTAAAGTTGCCAATCTAGCTGGGGAACTCCCATTTTCTCCAGGAGCTTGTTCGCTTGAGAGAAATGCCTGGCATTGTCATATACATACACATGTGAAACAAATCTGCGGTCAAAATAGTTTTCCCTTCCTGGTTGAAGTTGATCAAGTATACCAAGTCCGGGCAGGAAGTAAATGGAACTGAGCTAACTAACCTGCAGCCAAAAAAGCCCTTGTGTGCAGACAGGCCAGAGGGATGAGCTGCTTTCAGGACGTGATGCTTTGTCCCATCAATTAACCTGCATGCAGCACTCTTTACGTGAAAACATGATTGAACAACTGAACAAGTGCTGAAATCATTCAAAAGGAAGAAAGGAAAATAATAATAGCAATAAATTCGACCCCTATTCTCCATTCATTACCAAACGAGCAGTACTTCAGGTTTAGAGAACCCGGCTACAATATTATTTCTGAATGCAAAGTGGCAACGAGCTTCTTCACAAAGTACATAAATAGATTTTCAGCATGAAAGCCTTGTGAAATTACAACTAAACTCTAGATGATCCAGTACATGGGTCTTGGGTAAGATAAACAACAGCTTCGTTCTCCAGTTCTAAATCTCCAGCCACTATCTTGGGCCAAGCAAGGATCCCAGCTAGAGTTATAAAAGCACCCATCATTCACAATAGAAAAGGGATCTCAGTTAGCATTATAACAGCCTTTTCCACCTCTAATCAATGGGTCTGATGGCAGACTGCAGTTCCCCTGTAATTGGGGTAGGGCATAACCAATGCTTTTTTCCTATTTCTGAATGATCAACCAAAGAAGACAGAAACACTCAATATGTTTGGAATTCAGCTTTCCATCAAAAACTTCAAGTGCACATGCTCCATGTGTCATTCTTCAGCCACATATGACTAAAGGATCAGATTTTTCATAGGAATGTCCAATGATTTGTAGCTTGTCCATTAAATGATAACCAAAAATAAGTTTGCTTTTGTCATCTTAATACTTGTTTCTGCATCAGGCTAACAAGAACAACATGAAGTACCTGGATTTCTCCTGAGCAAAGTTTCCCCAAAGGAGAAATATAACTCCCTCCTTTTTCTGTGAAATAGTTTTGATAACAGCATCTGTGAATTGCTCCCATCCTTTCTTGGCATGAGAATTTGCCTCATGCTCTCTAACTAAATTGTTAACAAAGAAAAGGAAAAACTAAAAGTTAGAAAATTGGAAATTGAACAATTGTATCAAATCAAGGATGTAAGAGTTCTCTAGCGCTCTGTTAACTAAATTGTTAACAAAGAAAAGGAAAAACTAAAAGTTAGAAAATTGGAAATTGAACTATTGTATCAAATCAAGGATGTTAGAGTTCTCTAGCTACCATATAGAGGTAAGTAGATGTGAAGATGATCTAGTTCACATTTCAAGATAGTACGAGAAACTAAGAATCTGGTGCGAACCCTAGCATTGAATTTGTGTCTCCAAATAAGGGAAAGCTGCAGAGTAAATCCAAGAGTTACCAGAAGGGCAAACTCAGAACCCTTCGGCCTTCCCCCTGGAAGTTTTTATATCACTTATGGTTGAAAAAGATATCATAGAGAGAAAAATACCAATGAAGCATAACCTAAAAGTACAACCATAGACATGAAAAAGCACAACATAAGGATCGTAAAGTCGTCTATGATAAAGAAAATGTCATACATAGTTGTCGGTCCTCAGTTGTCTACCAAGAACCAACCTTGGACATTCTAGATAAACAACATAGCATTTTAAGTTCTGCAGTCAGACTGCAGCATATAAAGAACCAGGCCTAGGTAGTTGAACAGTTGGTTCAACCCCATTGGACATTGTGAAAATGACAAGCCTGAACATTAAAACATTTTTTGGCTACTGCACAAATCAATATGATTTTACAAGCAGAGATTATGTTTTGTCTGCTTTGTGAAACACTAATCGGCTCAAACTGATTTAAGCTATAGTTTCTAGGTTAAGGCAGTGGTTCTCGTAAGTTTTAACCGGACCATGACGATTCAGCGAAAGTATGATAATTGATTCGATTGACAAAATGAACTATCTCACCTGTAAGAACCGCGTTGAGCAATAACACGCCCTGCAGCTCATTAGCAAGAATAAGAAAGACACAGGTAAATTGTCAGGAACTACTTCAACAGGATCAAGAATGCTGCAGAAAAAATCCACGGCCTCGCTATGGTGCATATTCACCAACACTCAAACGTATGATGGAAGTTTGCTCACCATAAATTGGGGAAGGATCAAAGTTTTCTAGTCATTTCAATTACCTCAATGGCCCACTTTTCAAGATTACCATGAGAAGGAACTGGACACCCAACATCTTGCTTTAGTTCCTTAAATATGTTGACAAGACTTGAAGGAATCTTGACTCCTTCTGGGACAGAGAAGGAAAGGCCCATGGCTTGGCCAGGGCCATGATAAGGATCTTGTCCTATGATCACCACCTTGATTCTGTCAAATGGGGTGGTGTTAAGAGCATTAAACACCAAATGCTGAGGTGGGTATATGGGAACTCCCCGCCCCAAAATCTCATTCTCAAGGAAACCGCAGAGGCTCTTCGCATAAGGCTTTTGTAGCTCTCCAGGGAGAGCTTCCAACCATGTCTTCTCCACCAATAGCTCCTCCAATTTCACATAACCCACACCTTCTTCTGAAACCCAAAAAAAGAAAAACCCTAAAATTGTGAACATCCCATATATGGTACCTTTTCAGGACCAAATTGTTTGACGATAAAATGTAAGGACCAAGTCCAAATAGAATCACGATCAAAATTAGAATTCAAGAAGGAAGAAAACAAATGAGGGGCTTCACATCTGGAGTTACCTCTGCAGTTAGAAACGAGTTGAGAACAGTGCTTGAGGTTGCGCTTAGACTTAGCGCGCAGTTTGTTGAACTCGATGCGAGACTTCTGGTCATCGGAGAGGGATGCGGAGGTGGAGAAAGAAGAAGAATCGGTGGCGGATTTGGTGGGAGGGAAGGAGGAGGGTTTGGAAGGAGAAGAGAGCTTGGGGCGTTTGGCTGGGTGGAAGAGGTCCATAATCGTCTTTGAAGAAGCGGCCGCCGGCTTCTTGTTCCTCATTGCGGCGGCGGGGAGGATACGAAGAAGCGGGAGAGGCAGTGGAACTGTGGAACTGTGGACTATTCTACTGGGTATGGGCGGGAACAGCAATTCTCGGCCGCAACCCTTTCCAAGAATTGAAACGCGCATGAAACAAATTGCACCTTCGAAGTTCCGAATACCTCGCCAAATGCGAAAAAGTTAAAACTCCAAAAGTTAAACTCCTAACTGATGCTTTTGTTAGGAGATACTGACACGGGCTGGATTGGATCCACGGAGGCCCAGCCGCAATCCAAGGGGGAGGGTGACGGGCTCACTTAAGTGAGCTGATGGTGGGCTCCTTAGTCCAAGCCGACCAAAGGGAGGGATCTGGTGGATCAGCTTGGGACAGCCGATGGTTTTGGGCGGGATTTTGTGGGCCCGGCGAGAATGGGTTTTGTGACATAAATGGGTGAAGGAAAAATAAAAATGGGAAAATAAGCCAATGCTACGGTGCCGCAGTAAAAAGTGTGGCACCGGTGATGCTGCATCTAATTGGGCCACGTGGAGCTCATGTGGCATGAGCTAACTTTGATTGATCCAAGCCCTAAATCCATGAGTACTAGGAACTGGAACTAGGGATGGCAACAAAACCCGAACCCACGGGTACCCGCCCACTATTCACCGGGTTGGGTTTGGGTTTAGGTAAACCCGCCACGTGGGTACCCGCCCACACACATATAATTACTTTCCTGGTATATTTAATATTCTAAATAATATATCTTCCTTAAACAACTAATATTCTTTATGTTTGTGGAGACATGTATAATTTGTTCTTTCTAATTGTTTAGAATGAAGTTGATATTATGAAGTGGAGAGTGAAGAAACTTGTCATTTGCTTGTTGGATTTGGGTCATGGATTTGGTACCCAAATCCAAAGCTTGATGGATTTAACATAAGTCCATTGTTTGTTGAAGGGTGCTAAATCCGTGGGGTCCACGAATTTGGTCTTTATTATGGAACCAAATCCGTGGACCCCACGGACTTGTAAATCCCACATATTGATTTGGGATTTGCAAATCCTTGATGGTTAGTTATTTATTTAACAAATCCATCATCAAATATATCATGCAAACATTAGACTCTTCAAATCCATAATCCAATAAATCCAACATAAATCCCAAGGTTTTTATTGGCTAAAACCCTCATTTTTCAAATCCAACAAGCAAACGATTAGTTGAAGAGGAAGAAGCTTTCAATTAATCTTATTGTTTATAGATGTTTATCTTTAATTATGAACAATTTATATTGATCCTTTGTGGTTTGCTTGTATGCTCTAGATTGGTGTTTTTTGTATGAGAAAATTTATGTTAAACTTTTATTTTGAAAGAAACTTGTTATTGTAAATTTTTTACGACAAAAACCCATGGGTACCCATGAACCCGCGGATACCCAGCGGGTTGGGTTTGAGTTTTTCAAACCCAGCGGGGTTTACCCCGGATTTTTTTGGCGGATAAACCCATGGGTTTGGGTTTGACAAAACTCGCCCCAACCCGACCCATTGCCATCCCTAACTGGAACCAACCCGTCTCGCACACACTAACGGAGACCCTACTCCGTCTAGCCCAAACGCCTATATGTTTTATCTTTTTATTGAATAAACATTTAATTAGGTTGTTTTTCGGGAAATTCAGAAAACAGAAAAACAGAAAACAGAGGTCGAATACGGAAGGAAGGAAGTTCCGCAATCTCCTTCTCCGGCGGTCTCTCCAAAATCACTCCGGTAACTTGTTTCGTTGTTCGTGGTCGATCCCATGTTCAAAATCACTCCGGTTACCTATTCAGAAGCGAAGGAATCTGTGTCTTCGCGGGCATCTGTCACCATCGAAAAGCAACGCCGCCAATTACCAGATGGTACAAAGTTAGAGAAGGAGAGGGACGCCCTCCTTCACCGGCGATCGCTCCTGAATCACTAAGGTCACTTGTTCTTGGTCGATTCCATCTCCAGGGTCAACCTTACCCTTCGAGTTCATACCAGAGGCGAAGGCATCTGTGTTTGCGGCGGCCTCTGTCACAATCGAAAAGCGGTGTCGCCGATACAATTTCTGATACAGCCTACACGATTTACCTTCACTAGATTCTGTCACCTGCTTCGTCATCATCGAAATCTTTTCTTCCTCTGATTTTCCCCCTAATCGAGGTCCTCGATCCGAGTTTCATTTCTGTGTCTTTTTATTCGTTCGTTTGGCACGGTTGGCTTGATGTGGTCGTACTGCCATTTCAAGGTTCTATCTCTTTGTATGTTATCATGATAGGGTGTGACGAATTCTGCATCCCTACATCGATCAATTAAGGTGTAGGGTTCATTTCACATTTAGGATTCTCCTTAGTTTCTGGTTACAATGGAGCGAATATTTTAATCTTGAGAATGAGAGGGTTGTCCTATATTGGTGATGCAGGGAGGCTTGCCTTGGCTTCTTCCGTAGTTGGTTCCAGCATTGTAACATGAGCAGCATTGTAAGTTTAGATTGGGAGCTCGGTTTATCAAATTCGAATTAAGTGTTCATTGCTTGTCTTCGTGTATTTATAGTTTCTTTAGCCACAAGATCACTTTGTCGTTGAATTTATCTCTCTCTTTCAGGTCAAAGATACTATGGATCTTTTGTTTCAGTGCGGGTACACTTTCTTTCTACCGTTGTTGTAATTCTACTTATGCTGCTGCACTTTCTTTTTTCATGCTGCAATAACTTCACTGGTGCTTCTGTAACTTGGGTGGCTGAATGTATAGCTGAGTGGGTTAGCTTAGCTCCATTAGAAGCAAGTAGAAAAGCAACAAGGGAAGAAACTCAAAGGGAAAAGCAACAGAGGAAGCAACTCTGTGGTTGTAGAGAGAGTAGATAGTCAGGAAGGCTGCAGAAGCTTGGAAAGTTTTAACAATAAAAGCGGCTCTCTCAACAAAGAAACTGGTAGATGGAATTGGAACACGTGTAAGAATGGTTCTTCAAAACGGCTCAGGCATCAATACTACGGAAACATATCGAGATCAAGGACATGTTCTGATGATTGATATAAAGCCAAGTCAACAAGATTAAAGACAACTAACTGAAAGTAGCTGTTGTTTTTTGTTTCAGGAATGTTACTGTTACTCTCAAAATCCATAATACAAAATGAAGTTGACACAACCACTGCTGGCAGTTAGCTTAGATAGTTCCCCAAGTCGATCGATGCCACTCCAAACCATGTGCAGAAGCAATTGATATTATAAGTGAACTATCAAAATGTACTTGAAAGGCACTTAATTGAAAGAATCTGCAGATATGACTGCTACTGTTAAACTTTTCTCATGTACTTTATTTTATCTTTATTCAATAATATTATAGCACCATTATTTGTAGAGAAAACACAAGTTGATTCAAAAGAATCACCACTATCCTGCATACCCTACCCTCGCTATAAGAAAGCAACATTGAACTCCTTAGTAAACAAAGTTATAGATTGAAGGTTCATAATGGGGGAAAAGCACCATCCATATAAGGAGGTAGCATACAATTTGGGCCACTTTGGGGTTCCAACTTGTTTAAAATACCAAAAAACATACGCCTTCACCACGTTCTTCAGTCTCCTTGTCCACCTTACCTTCCGTTGTACCAATCAAGAGAAGATTCAAAATGTAAGTACAAATAGAAAGAACACAAGAAATGTCCTGCTACTGCTATTCCTCAATATGGTTTTTCTTTCTTCTGTGCCAAATTCCTCGTCCTCCCAACAGCCTTTCGTTTATCGAGTTGATTAAGTTCAATTACACTCAAAGCAGACAAATCACCGACCAGACAAAGGAAGTAGTAGTAGAGGCCGAACTTTGAAGCTTAGTAGCATACTATATGACAAAAATACCCTCAAATAAGCCATAAGGAACTAGATTGACAACAAACACAGTGAGAAAAATAAACCCAAAAGCCGAGCAACCAACCTTGTGGACATTGCATTTGGGGACTTTATACTATCGGAGTAACCCCAAGTCGGCAGATTCATTACCGTCGTCAATGACCAGAGTCTGTGCCTCCTCCTCCTTGTCCATTACAAACAACAATTGACTCTTCCTAGAAACTCACAATCATCCTCACACACTCTAAATAATACTAGTCAGTCATGAAATTCTTACCTTTAGGAAACACTTCCCTTCTGTCTAACTTGGTCTCTCCGACGCATACCCGTCAATCGCTCTACATTCAACAATTGAATGGTGACTCAAGCGCACAAGACCTACACACTAGCAGCGTCCATCTCACAACCAACTGCTGCCAAAGCTGTGGCTATCGGTTTCAAATTCCCCTGCACATATTTACATAGCGAGTTAGACAAAAGGAGTTATAACACAGCTGGTGATTCTGTAAGCAACGTAGCCAAATATTGAACATCATGGCTTTCAAATTCATGTACCAAATGCAGGAAGAAAGAAGAAATTCAGAAACATTCTACTTACTGATAGAAAAAGAAACTAAACTATCACAGTAATTAACCTGGAGGCACTGAAATCATAACTCCATACATACAACTGATTAATTCTAGATCCATACCACAATTGAACCCACCAAGAGCCCCTGCCACTAATGAACTACCAGATTCTTGTGTTTGTGAAGCTCAACAAGTGACTTCACGATAGTTTTCAGAACATTCTTGACCTTAAGTAGAATGAAGACCACTTCCCATCCTTTATAGCACAGACACACAAACGAACAAACAGATGGTGGTTTCAGTTATCGGAGATGGCGATGACCTCCATGCTAGGGGAATCAGACTGGGGGAAATCCAACAAATTCTGACCACCTCCGGAGAACAAACAGCTGTCGGTGGTGGCCATGGGGATGAAGTATTCGCTGCCGTCGAGCAACAAGCGATCGGCGATTCCGACGGGAATCTGGACGTATCTGATGGGCATCTCGCAACACTGGCCTAAGCTTGAATCGTACTCGATTCCTTCGATTGCGCTCGGAGAGAGAACGACCGGTGATCGTATGCAGGGCCTCCCGGCGTATAGAGGCGGCGCGGTTGCAATCCCCCAATTTGACAGGAGGAGATGGGAGCTGCGGAAGGAGGAGCTGCCGGCGCGAAGGGGTCGATGTCAAGCATGGTACTCGTCATTTGGACAATGGGAGAGGACGACAGATAAGTCGTCGGGGGATTGATTTTCAAGAGACCGCCAGAGTGGGAGATCGAGGAAGTTGGATTTTGGAGTTTTGGTTCGTTTAGTCCATCCCTATTTCTATTTCCAGATTCTGCCAAAAAACAAAACTAATATCAGTTGCATTAATTTAATTTATTTAATGAGAAACACAATGCAGAGTATAACGACGGGAGTTCACCGTTAGTTTAGGAGAGGTCGGTTGGGCCACTCTAATGGGCCACCGAGTTTGTACCAATATTTATTAAACCAACCCAATCCGCCACGTTAGCTCCACGTGGTCCAATCAGATGCAGCGTTACCGGTGCCGCACTTTTTACCGCGACACCGTAGCATTGGCCGGAAAATAAAAAGCAAGGGGGAGATGGGAATTAAATACCCAATCACCTCTTCCTCTAAACCAAAAAAGCTCTCTTTCTCTTTTTTCTCTGTTTTTCTCCTCTTTCAAAGGCAGAGCCGCCGCCAACAATTATTTCCGACGACCACTGGCCTTGTAGGTGAGCCTTGTCCACAATCTAGAATGTTGATAAAAGAAAATGGTGAGTTGGACGATGAACGAGCTTCTCCGATGAAGAAGGATAAAAGCTGATCGTCCAAAATGAAGAAGAAGAACCCTTATCCTACATCATATGACTTTATTGAAGAAGATTCAGGTGGTGCGCCTGCCCTCGATGAAGAAGAAGAAGAAGAAGAAGAAGAAGAAAATGAAGGTTGATTGAATAATATATATGTTTGTGTTGTTGAGATTGGTTGGTTTGACATTTAATGATGTTGATGTTGTTATGGGGTACTGATACGAGGGTTTTGGATACAATTTAGTGAAATGTTGGATATTAGTCTGGGCATGTTGGAAGTAGTGTGTATCCTACTGTTTAATGCAATGCTTGATAGTAGTCTGGTATAAATGGATAGTATTTTATTGAAAGTCTGGATATTTGTTGAAGCATATGTATTCTAACAGTTTGTGGGTAAGATTTGACGTATGTTGGATGGTAGTCTGGGCATATTGATTTCATTTGTTTATTGGACAATATGGATAATAACATGCTTCATACCATTAACTCGCAACTCATAAGACGTTGGACCTAAAAAACGAGGAAGCAAGGAAGAACTTTATCGCACTAAGGATGAGTGTTTGGATTTCTATAAACGCTATGCTCACAAAAAAAGGGTTTGGTGTTCGAATAGATGGGGAACACATAAGAAAGATTAAGAATTCTAAAGGAGTGGTGGAGAAAAATTATGCACACCTTTATTACTTTTGTAATAAGGAAGGCTGGACTTCCACTAGCAAAGTAAATGTGAACAAACAAATACAGTGGGAAGACAGGTCGAGGAGAGAAGGCGCCCTAAAAGAAAGAGGTCTCGAGTTAGGGATGGATGTCCTGCTCGTGTTTGTTTTTGATGGGATGCTACTAGGGACGGATTTGTGGTGTATGAATTCGTAGAGGCCGACAGTCATGGTTTGCACTCTACCGAGCATATGCACTTGCACAAGTCCAACAAGTGCATGAGTGATGCTTAGAGAAAGATGGCCGAAGCTACTAGCGATGCCAGGATGAGTCTTAGTGCATCGTATCAGTTATTGGCTGAGTGTGCTGGTGGCTATCAAAATCTGACTTTTACCAAATGCGATCAGAAGAACCACTTGAACAATAAAAGGCAAAAGAAAATGGCTCGTGGCGAAGCGACTTATTTGCTTGACTACTATGAGGACCAAAAGGACAAGCATCCTGGCTTTTATGCTGTAGAGGTAGATTGCGAGGAGAAAGTTGCTAATATTTTTTGGGCGGACAGTAGGATGCGTGAAGATTATGTGCTTTTTGGAGATTCGGTCTCCTTTGATACCACCTTCCGAACTAATAAATACTTTCGTCCACTGGGTACATGAATCACCTAATTCCCTTGAGTTCTTTCGACACTCGTTCGGTTATGCATTGTCATTAATAGTGTAGGTATACTACATAAATGGTTATAACTAGAATGTAGGGTGACTCGAGAGTGGTCTGTTGTGATCCTATATTGACATGATATTTGAGGAAACTTTTTTGTAACAGAGAGGAAATTAATCCGCTTTTATAGGATATTAGTCTGGGTTGTACTGATATTTGTTAGCCTATGCAGTAACATTATTCTGTGCAGCATGGATATTATATGTTTTTTACTATCCAGCAAACTAAACACACTATCAAGTCCTAACACATAAGGCTTGCAACCTTAGTTAGGCCTGTCTGCCGAGGGCCCATGTAACAATAATAGTAGGAGAGGAATCACGTAATTCCCTTGAGTTTTTTCGAAACTCGTTCGATTATGCATTGTCATTAATAGTTGTCTTGTGCAGGGAAGTTTGTAGGTTTCAATAACCACTGTCAAACTTGTGTGTTTGGTGCTTGTTTGATGTATGACGAGACTACTCCGTCTTTTGAATGGTTGTTTGTTTCATTTATTCGGTGCATGAAGAAGAAAATCCCAGTCACTATCTTTACTGATCAGGACGCCGCCATGACAGTTGCCCTTAGAAAGGAGTGGCCTACTATGTTTCATGCCCTCTATACTTAGCACATCCTCATGAATGCCAAGAAGCATCTTCGCAAGGACAAGGCATTTTGGAAGAAGTTCCAAAATTATCTTGCTTTTATTTTCTACGACATAGGCAGTGAGGAAGAGTTCGACATGGCATGGAGCGCCATGGTTTCTAATTTTTTCCCAAATAGAGACATTGCGGATGGCCACCCATGGTTGGAACGTTTGAAGAAATTTCGTCATCGATGGTTTTCCTTATGGTTGAGAGATCAATTCACAGCCGGGATGTAGACTACACAAGCCAGCGAGTTGTGCAATGCATAAGTGCGACTTTTCTTGAAGTCGAGCCATGATTTGGACTTGTTTTCAATTTTTTAGCAGGTACATACGCGGAATATTAAGTTGTCTTTCTCTGATATTAGTGTGCTAGGTATGGATATTTGTATATTTCATCTAGATATTCCTATTCCATGGTGAAATATTAATCTGTTCTTTTTGGATATTAGTACGGGTCTGAGTTGATATTAGTCTGGCACTGAAGTATTTTCTCTTGCTTCCTAATTGTAGTTTGTTGGCTGACAAAAGACGCAAGGAGACAGAGTCAGACTACAATGAAAAACAATCGGTTGCCTATATAAAGTTGGAGCATAGCCCGATCCTCCAACATGCGACAAAGATCTTTACTCCTAACATCTTCAATCGGATACAAAAGCAGTATTTGAAAACTGAATTCTATCTAATGGAGAAGCTCTCACATACTAGGGAGGATGGCGTGATTGTCTACATCACATATATGATGGAGGATGATGAGTGCAGTGATGAGCGTGTCGTTCTCGTCGATATTTCTACGTGGAAATTGGTATGCGAATGCAAAATGTTCGAAACTTTCGGAGTGTTATGCCGCCACATGATTAAGGTGATGCGAATTCTTGGAGATTTTGGGGACGCATGTATGAGAAGCATTCCAGATTATTACATACTCAAGCGATGGACGTTGGAGGCGAGAAAGAAAGAGGTTGCTGATGTCGATGGTTCTGTTAGTCCTTCAGCTGCCACTGAGATTGATACGGAAAAAGGTATAGCAATGCAGTACCGAGAAACCAAAACAATGTTGAATCAACTAGCTACGAACCTGTCGATGGCCGGTGAGAAAGACTACAATAACTGGATGGGAGCACTCAAGAAACTGTGCAATGGGGCAAACAAGGCATTGTCAAATACTATAACTAGCAAGTACAGTAAGTGTATTCACTAATATCATTTGTATATTGTTAGAGTTTTATATCATTGCATTTACTATATTCTCTAACATTGTAGGACGGTCTGTACCGATAACTGAGCTTACTCTAAAAGAGAAGAGTAATCCAAGGAGCCACGACAAGGAATGTTATCAGTCTACGAATGAAAAAGAACGCCGTCGAAAGTAGCACCTCTATAGGAATAAAATGAAATCAGTTGAAGTGGTCACGCCGAACAACAATACTCAACCGGATGACCATCTTAGTGATTTGGATGATAATCTTGCTGAATGGTTATGAATAGAATGTAGAGTGGTTCGAGAGTGGTCTATTGTGATATGATATTGACATGTGATTCCAGGATACGTTTTTGTCATGCTGTAGATATTAATCCGCTTGTAATAGATAGCAGTCTGGGTGATATGGATATTTGTTCACATATGTACCAATATTAGTCTAGGCTTTCAGGATATCATTATTGTCAAGAACAGGTTCAATAGTACCAATGATTACTTCTTTCACTATTCACATGTGACTTTTTTGTTACTGTACTCATGTGAGGGTTTTTGTTTCTATTCTCTAAAGACATGTTGCTAGAGTACTTTGTATGACCATTTGTCTATTTAAGACAAATCACACACAAACAACATTGGCTATCCTCCTCCCTCAGTTTCTTCTTCTCTTCTCTTCCAAAGCAAAATCCATGTCTGGAGAGACTCCTAAACCAACGCGTCGGGGATTGGTGGATGAGTTCGAATATGATGGTGATGTGCTCTGTTACCATGGTTGGAGAGCCGCCAGACAACTTGTTGTTGATGGAGTCAACCCACCAAATAGGTATTTCCGATGTCTGATGTACGAGTATGACAATGATAAAGGGTGTGGGTTTCACATGGATTGGGACGAAGTAATGTTCCCCGCTTTTTTAGAGTCAGATGATGAAGATAACAACGAGGAGACCGTGAAGAAATGAATTAGTATTTCCTGTCATCACCTTGTATTGTGTTGAGTTTGTTTCTATTTCTGATTCAAAGTGTTATCCATCTTTATCTACTATTAGTCTGGGCTCTAAGGATATTAGTCTACATAAAGATGGGTATTAGTCTGGGCCTTAAGGACATTAGTCTGGGCTCTATTGATATTAGTCTACAAACAAATGTAGTGTGATATTGGTTTGTAAAACCGAACTTAAGGTTGGATAATATTTAGGGATGAATGCTATTTAGGGTTGGATAATATTAATGGATGGATGATGGTTTGTAGCAGGATTGATGATATTTTGCCAGATGTTGGATATAATTACCAACATAAGTTCTGATTGAAAAATATATTGTAACCTCCAAGGTAAATATCTGTCTTTATGTAGACTAATATCCTTAAGGCACAGACCAATATCCTTACATCCCAGACTAATACCTTCTTTATGTAGACTAATATCCTTAACTCTCAGACTAATATCCTTAAGACCCAGACAAATACCCGTCTTTATGTAGACTTACATCAATAGAGCCCAGACTAATGCCCCTAAGGCCCAGACTAATACCTGTCTTTATTTGGACTAATATCCTTAGAGCCCAGACTAATATAGTAGATAAAGATGGATAACACTTTGAATCAGAAATAGAAACAAACTCAACACAATACATGGTGATGACATGAAATACTAATTCATTTTTTCACGGTCTCCTCGGTGTTATCTTCATCATCCGACTCTGAAAAAGCGGGGAACATTACTTCGTCTCAATCCATGTGAAAACCACACCCCTTATCATTGTCGTACTCTACATCAGACATCGAAAATACCTCTTCGGTGGGTTCACTCCATCAATAACAAGTCGTCTAGCAGCTCTTCAACCATGGTAACAGAGCACAGCACCATCATATTCAAACTCATCCACCAATCCCTCGCGCTCTGGTTTAGGAGTCTCTCCAGACATGGATTTTGCTTTGGAAAAGAAGAGAAGAAGAAACTGAGGGAGGAGGATAGCCGATGTTGTTTGTGTGTGATTTGTCTTAAATAGACAAATGGTCATATGGAAGTACTCTAACAACATGTCCTTAGAGAATAGAAACAAAACCCTCACATGAGTACAGTAACAAAAAGGTCACATGTGAATAGTGAAAGAAGTAATCATTGGTACTATTGAACTTGCTGTTAACAATACTGATATCCTGGAAGCCCAGACTAATATCGTTGCATATGCGAACAAATATCCATATCGCCCAGACCGCTATCTATTACAGGCGGATTAATATCCACAGCATGACAAAAACGTATTTTAGAATCAAATGTCAATATCATATCACAATAGACCACTCTCGAATCACCCTACATTCTATTCATAACCATTCAACAAGATTATCATCCAAATCACTAAGATGGTCATCCGGTTGAGTATTGTTGTCCGACGTGACAACTTCAACTGATTTCATTCTATTCCTATAGACACGTTTCTTTCAAAGGCATTCCTTTTCATTCTTAGACTGATAAGGTTCCTTGTCGGGGCTCTTTGGATTACTCTTCTCCTTCAGAGTTAGCCTAGTTATCGATACAGACCGTCCTACAATGTTAGAGAATATAGTAAATGCAATGATATAAAACTCTAACAATGTAAAAATGATATTAGTGAATACACTTAATGTCCTCGCTAGTATAGTCTTTAACAATGCCTTGTTTGCCTCATTGAACAATTTCTTGAGTGTTCCCATCCACTTATGTAGTCTTTGTCACCGGCCATCGATAGGTTCATAGCTAGCTGATTCAACATTGCTGTGGTTTCTCGGTACCGCATTGCTATACCTTTTCCCTCATCATTCTCAGTGACAGCTGAAGGACTAATATAACCATCGACATCAACAACCACTTTCTTTCTACCTCCAACGTCCATCGCTTGAATATGTAATGATCTGGAATACTTCTCATACATGTTTCCCCAAAGTCTCCAAGAAGCGTCATTACCTTAATCATGTGGCGGCATAACACTCCGAAAGTTCTGAACATTCTGCATTCACATACCAATGTCCTCGTAGAAATATCGACGAGATCGACATGGTCATCACTATGCTCACCATCCTCCATCATATATGTGAGGTAGCCAATCATGCCATCATCCCTAGTATGTGAGAGTGTCTCCATTAGATAGGATTCAATTTTCAAATACTGCTTCTGTATCCAATTGAAGATGTTAGGAGTAAAGATCTTTGTTGCATGTTCGAGGATCAGAATATGCTCCAAATTATATAGGGAACCGATTGTTTCGCATTGTAGTCTGACTCTGTCTCCTTGCGTCTTTTGTCAGCCAACAAACTACAATTAGGAAGTAGGAGAAAATACTTCAGGTTCCAGACTAATATCCACTCAGACCCGTACTAATATCCGAAAAGAACAAAGTAATTGCATAGGAATATCCAGATGAAATATAAAAATACCCATACCTAGCACACTAATATTAGAGAAAGACAAAGTAATATTATGCGTATGTACCTGCTAAAGTGAATGAAAAACAAGTTCAAATCATGCCTCAGCTTTAAGAAAAGTCGCACTTGTGCATTGCACGACTCGCTGGCTTGTGTAGTCAACATCCCGGCTTTAAATTGACCTCTCAACCATAAGTAACACCATCGATAAAAAAATTTCTTCAAACGTTTGGCCATCCGCAATGTCGCTATTTGGGAAACAATCAGAAACCATGGCGCTCCATGCCATGTCGAACTCTTCCTCACTGTCGATGTCGTAGAAAATAAAAGCAAAATGATTTTGGAACTTCTTCCAAAATGCCTTGTCCTTGCGAAGATGCTTCTTGGCATTCATGAGGATGTGCTAAGTACATAGAGCATGAAACACACTAGTTCACTCCTTTCTCACGATAGCTACCATGGCGGTGTCCTGATCAGTAAAGATAGTACTGGGAGCTTCTTCTTCATGCACCGACTAATTGCAACAAACAATCATTCAAAAGATTGAGATGTCTCGTCCTACATCAAACAAGCACCAAGCACACAATTTTGATGGTGGCGATTGAAACCTACAAACATCCCTGCACAAGATAACTATTAATGACTATGCATAACCAAATGAGTGTCGAAAAAATTCAAGAGAATTACGTGATTCCTCTCATAATATTATTGTTTCATGGGTCTTCGGCCCATGAGCCCTTAGCGGGCATCCCTAACTAAGGTTGCAAGCCTTATGTGTTAGGACTTGATAGTGTTTATTTTGATGGATAGTAAAAAACATATAATATCCATATTGCACAGAACAATGTTATTGTGTAGGCTAACCAATATCAGTACAGCTCAGACTAATATCCTATAAAAGCGGATTAATATCCTCTCTATTACAAAAAAAAATCCGCAAATAACATGTCAATATTGGATCATAACATACCACTTTCGAGCCACACTACATTCTATTCACAACCATTTCTGTAATATACCTACACTATTAATGACAATGCATAACCGAACGAGTGTCAAAAGAATTCAAGTGAATTAGGTGATTAACGTACCTAGTGGACGAAAGTATTTATTGGTTCGGAAGGTGGTATCAAAGGAGACCGAATCTCCAAAAAGCGCACAATCCCATCCACTATCCGTCCAAAAAATATTAGAAACTTTCTTCTCGCAATCTACCTCTACAACATAAAAGAAGCCATTAGGTTTGTCCTTTAGGTCCTCAAAGTAGTCAAGCAAATAAGTCGCTTCGCCACGAACCATTTTCGTTTGCCTTTTACAATTCAAGTGGTTCTTCTGCTCGAATTTGGTAAAAGTCATATTTTTATAGCCACCAACACACTCAGCCAATAACTGATACGATGCACTAAGACTCATCCCGGCATCACGGTTAGTTTCGACCATCTTTCTCTGAGCATCACTCATGCACTTGTTGGACTTGTGCAAGTGCATATGCTCGGTAGAGTGCAAACCATGACATGGCATATTGTGGGCTAGTCCTATGCCTCCATCTTCCTCGCTAGTCCTAGATCTGAATTTTCTTCATCTTCTAGGCTTGAATCCTAGACTCCAAAATCAACCCAAGCCTTTAATTAAGCTCCAAGATCACTCAAGATCACACACACTCTCTCTCTCTCTCTCTCTTTAGAAATGCCCCTTTGGGTGTTTTGGGTCGGAACCTTAAAGAAGAACCCTAAAATTCCATATACATTCTAGCTCTCCTTTTCTCTCTCCCAGCTGTGTTCTATTTATATAGCCGGAGAGCCAA